GACGATACAATAGCCACAATTATTTTTCAAAAACAGGAAATTTTCGTTACACATCAACAAAAATTCAACTTGGGCTGACACACAATGGAGAGAAAGTTCGAAATTGGATAGGTTAATTTCATCAAAAATGCATCGTGGATGACCTTGTGGTTGTGGCTGGCAAAGTTTGAATGATCGTGCCCAAAAGCAGCGATACTAGAGAAGATTGGAGAATGAGAACGAGACCCGCCTTGAGTGTTAAAGTGATTCAACTTAATAGTGAGTCTCTGAGACAGTCTTGTCCCAAATACAGCCGTGCTGTTTTACTTGTTTTAAATACAAAATGCAACAACTTAATTTATTAAATATGTATCAATAGTTTTCTTTGTAGTATTTGTGTTTAGTAGTTAAATTATTTTGACCCAATTGAATTTGAATATTTTTGATTCATTCCTTTATTATCTCTGTGCTAAATAACTACTATATTTTTCTGAATGAGCCAGATTAATTAATTGATCAGAATATATATTTTTCTTTTCTGAACAAGGGGCTGAAGTAGCTAGATCACACACTTTTTAGTTGGACTAACTTTTCTGGAAAGGTGAAATTGAAGTGTAAAAGCTGTAGAATAAAGATATGTAGATTTAGAATTTTATCACTCCCCTTTTTCCTCTTATTAAATATTTGTTAAAAGTTAATTTTTTTATACAAATAAATATTAATGTAAGTTAAATATTAAAAATTCTAAGTATAAAATTATTTGGGTAAATGCTCGGGGCTCCATTCAGAGTTCAGGGTAGGGTAACCTATGAGCGCCTCTGCCCTCCATAAAATGACTTGGTATTTAATTTTGCCGGAGTTGGCCTACTAAAATTATCAGGAGTCGAAGTTGAGTGTTTTTTTACCGACTCCGCAGCACTGTTTCAAATGCAGTGTTTTTCACCTAACACACTTTGTTTTATAATGTCAAGTTAAGTTTCCATGATAATAGAGCAAAATTTCTCGCATTTATTTCCATTGCTAGATTTACTATTACATTTTGGATGCATTCTTGAAGCACTAATCATAAAAATTTAGAAAAATTGCAAATCATAGCAAAAAATGCTGTTATTCTAATGTTATTAATTTAAATGCCATCTCACCAGTGGCAATGGAACCTCAGAATTTTCATTAAAATGAAAAATGACAATATGCAGTAGAAATAAATCCTCTGTTAAAATAATGTTTTTATCTAATACTAACAAATATTAGATGAACAAAGAAAACTTTATTTGTTCTATTACAATTATATACAGGTTCACATATATCAGATGCCAGGCAGTCTTGATCCCAACACATGACACAATTAATACTAATTATTAATGCTAGATACAAAAAATCACCAACTCAGTTTCATGCGACAAAGACCAATGGGGTTGGCAAGAATTTTCAACATAAACCATGTAATACTGTACACTGTACAATAACATAAAATAGACTAAAATAAAACCTATAACTAAATTATAAATTTTCATCTATAAACAAGCATTCACTTTTATCAGGACTTATTATACTGGCTCAACAGACTATACAGAGTTTCACAGAAAACAATTTTTATTTAATATTAAATAAAAATTGTTTTCTGTTTATAATTTATAATTTAGTAAGAAAAGGACATTGAGGCATTTTAATTAAAATAAAACCTATAACTAATTATAATGCTACAGAATAAGATAGAGGATAGGACAGATTGAGGAAATAGAGAAATGAATAAGATAGAGGATAGGACAGATTGAGGAAATAGAGAAATGAATAAGATAGAGGATAGGACAGATTGAGGAAATAGAGAAATGGAAATAGAGAAATGGGTACCCAATTTGGAATGGGTACCCATTCCGTATTTGGATCTTTATGATGGTTACTTATGCATAGGTCTTTCCTTGAAGTCCAAAATAGGGGGTTTTTGGCTATTGTTGCTCCAGAATTAATTACCAAGCTCCAATATTTACGATGTTGCTCCTTAGATCATCTGATAGTTAATTCCTTGGTATCTTATGACTCTTACCTATTCCGCATGATGCCTAAACATATCGTTATAGCTGACACACGTCCGTCTCTTCCACAGTTTGAATCCTAACTGGTTTACCTCTCCCCTATTGCCCTCTGGGCTGCATACCCTTCTATTGTTTAACACAGTTTCTTTTGACCATATATGGGAATAAAGTTTGAGTAAGAGCATTTCAGGAAGGATAAATGATAGAACAAAGGATGGAATTTATGAAGGAGAGAAAAAGAAAAAGAAAAAATATAAAATACGCATATATTATATATATATAAAATTACTTGTCCTGATTCATCATCACCCAGAGAAAACTGCTAAACCTAAAGAGGTGAAATTTTGTACACAGTTAGTGTGCATTTTCATGACCTATCTAAGAAGGGATTTTTGGAAATTTTCCCCACGGAGGGAGAGGATTAAGACTTAACCTGAAGAATGATTTCTACTGTATTATTTTAGATGTGATTTTTTGCTTTCAACTATGTGTAGTTTTCATTGAGTAGGTGTATTAAGATGATAATATTTCAGACATTTCATATATTTCGATTTTTTAACCAAATGTCGAACCGTTTTAAATTTGAATTTGTTATTGCATATTGGTTTGATTATAGAACGATTGTAAACGTTCCAGAAAATTGATCAAATTAAAAGCAGTTCATTTGATTCTCAGCAATTCTCATCATTCTCAGCAGTAAGTGTTATATAACAATTACTATGGTTGTTGAAATACTGAATATAAATGGGGTTTGCTTGCAAAACCCCCGCGGGAAAAGTTGCGGGTAACAGCTAGTATATATATATATATTTTTTTTTTTCATTAAAATTTTTTACTATATATATATAGCAAAAAATTTTAATGAAAAAATTATTATATAATGCAGTTTTCAAATAAAGTATTAAAACTTATTAATACTTTATTTGTGAATCATGAATTGATAAAGATGAGAAAAGCAAAAAGTTTGACACTATAAGAATTGAGAATTATATTAACTAAGGGAATTGAATCATCAAGAATATATCAAGATAACTTGATGAAATGAATTATAACTTTAACAAGGTAGTGGAGAATAATTTTCTCATTATCTTGTTGATTTGTATAATTTTTTGAAGTTAGAAAAAATATTCAATAATTATATGTATATCAAAAATTTGATGTTTTGAAAGCTCAATTAAATACATATATGACAAAGAAATGATCTTAGAATTGATGGTATCTTACATATGTCCTAAACAACAATCAGCAGTCATTGTGTACTTTCAATGTCTGTTGATTCATTTAATACATTTAATAGACTTTTTGTGCTATAATAATTAACAATTACATCAATTCAAATCAGCTTTTTGGTAACGAGCATTTAATTAAATTATTTTTTATGTTTAGAATGCCTTCAGATGTCATGGTTAAATGAAAAATCTTTATACATTTAGAACAGCATGAAAATAAAGCTGCCAAACATTACTTATTTCATAATAACTTAGGAAAACAATGCAAATGCTGATACTTAACAAAACAATGAAAACTACTGATTATTTAAAAATTTTTCCATCCCACAAATCTTAAAGTTAAATTTCAAACTCAAGAAGCATCTTAGAATTGAAGAAATACAATATAACTTATGTACAGATATGTATGTATACATATGCCCTTTGAATTAATTAATATTACAGTATTTGTGCTATCACACACAATCATTCTGTAAGGCTTATCGCACTGACACAGTTTACTATGAGGAGTTTATTAAATTAATCAATAAATATACACCAGTATTTCCCAAAGTGTGCTCTGTAGAGTCCTAAGACTCCACAACTCAAGTTATAAGGCTCCGTGAATCTTTTAAAACATTTTTAAAGTTAATGAATCAAATGCATTATTTGTTTATTTTATAACAATTTTTAAGTGAGCTGTTATTTATTTGAGTTGGCAATACATCTCAATATGGTAGTTGCCATTTGTGTAACTGATATTTCATTGAATGACAAAAATAAAATATATGTAATCTTTTATTAATAAACAGTTATAAACAATTATATATACTTTAATTTAATCATTCAATCAAATAATAATAAAAATAAAGCATTAGAGTCTTATGGCCTCATTCTTTCTCTGTCAATTGTACAAATTTATAGCAAAAGATGATGATGAGTTGTGAGGACTCTGCAAAAAAATTTTCCTTGCTTGGAAAATGCTGATATACATTTTTAAAAATTACATTAACATAATTACACCAACATAATAATCACCATTAATATAAGTCCAAAATGCATTTCAAGCCTTATTTAGTCCTTCTTTAGTTAGACATTATTTGGTGATTTAACTTTAGTTTAAAAAAATACACTTAAAAACAGGATCTGGTTTTTTTAACAATTACAATACAAAATTAAAATTCCCCTCAATAAAATCAAAAACAATTTAAAATTCTTTATCCAATCTGTTAACATTCTGTTTTCTTTTTATATTGTATAAAATGTTCCATTAATTATTTTACAAATATAAGTATTTATAAATCATAAAAATTTACTTACAAAGCTATATGCTTATAAACTTTAAATTCCAATAACATCCAGTATTTCCTGTTAGACCTTACTAAATTGTCCATCAGGTATTTCTAGATAAATTTTTATGATTAATATTATACATATATATGTGATGTAATATTAATATTTATATATATAATATATGATGTAATATATATATACATGTGTGAGGGTATATACAATGTTTGAAATATCATTAAAATAAGACTTAATAAAGACTTTTATACAAGACTTAACATTATATTAAATGATTCAAGCAATTAAATAAAAAAAAAAAAAGAGTATGACTATTTATAAAAATTAGTTGCTTAGAACTATAGATGATAAATCAGAAAAATGAATTGCAAATTTTAAATTTCATTTTAAAGGTTGGATAAAATTGTTATCTATATATTGTATAAAACAATACCTATACAAATATATAAACAATATTTATTGTCTCTTTAAGGTTCAGCAATGATACTTGAAGCTGATGTCAGTATGTCGTGTAACAGTCGTTACCCTGTTCCAATAATGGCATTACCACCAGCCATCACAAGTGATCTTACTTTGGAAGAATGGCTTCACGAAGTACTTCATTATAATAACAAGGGCATTAAATTGAATTTTCGATCTACAGAAGTAGTGGAACCAGCTTGTCGTGTCTTAGCCAGAATGGTTGATCATGTTAGGGTTTTTTTAATTAGTTAAAATGAAAGTTAATAATAAAGTATATTTTAAAATTAATAAATTTTATATTATAGTTTAGAGGACCCATTATACTGAATGCTGACATAGTACCAGGTCCAAATCAGCCTTCTGCTCCAGTCGACTCTTGGACATTTCTAACTTTATGCAGAACCAGGTTTCCAAGATCCATAATTTCTATTGGCTGGGCAACTGATTTTATTAGTGGAAGCTATTTCAAACCTGTGTAAGTATAAAAATTTACATATTCAAATAAAATTTTATATTAAAGATATGTAATCTGTTCCTCGGATTGATAGGTTAATAATTATTAAATTTTGTTGATATAGTCAATCTACCATTTGATTATTGTTTTTGTCAGAACTAATTTAATTGAAAATGAAATAAAACATTCAAATGTTTATCATTATTAAAATTATACAGAAATTTTAACACCGGAATAGATAAATTACCCAACTTCACTGCCTGTAACCAGCGTTATTCTTCTCCAAAACAACGGTTAATTCTGGAAATTCGAATTCATATAGGAAATTCCATAGCGCCTGAAGAAGAACCACATTAGGTTCGAAAACATTTGCAAAGTCCTCTGTATTGGAGAAGAAGAATGCCGGTTACAGGCAGTGAAGTTGGGTAAAATTATCAAAAATTAAATTTAAAAGAAATATAGAATATTTATATTGAAAACATCCCATGACACAGTAAGTAACCTACTAAACTTTTTGTTCTTTATTACAAATATGTGTTTGTCAATGTTATGTGGTATTTGTAGCCTTTCTCCAACACAATAACTATTGTGGTAAGGAATTAGTTTGAATCCTGAAAAAATTTTGTTATTTATTTTTTCATAAAGATTATTTACAAATGGTTATGAAATAAATGAGAAATCAATAAGAAAAAAATATGTTAAATTAGTATGTATTAAAAAATTTTTAATTGAACTTACTATCTATAAATTGATTCCATAATCAATTTTATGTAAATGTTTAAAAATTATTTAAAGATTATAGTAAAATATGGAAAATAGCTATAATTATTACATCAAAAATTAGAATCCATTATGTATGTCTACTCAATACATCTACTTCCATGAAATAAATACAATTACATTGAAATAATTCTTCACATCCTGTTGTTGATATAATTTTGTAATTAATAATTATCATATGATTTTCCTATTAATCTTTAAATATATCATTATTTTTCACTAGTTTGTACCATCAAACTTTATTACCATTAGTGACAGATTCAGAAAAAAATGATAGAAGGGTATAAAAAAAAAATCCAAATATTACTCTCTTACATTCTAAAAATATTCATATCACTACAGAGACCAATTATTAAACACTACAGAGACCAATTATTAATCATAAATGGAGTATTTATCCGTTCTTCTCGCATGGACAACTGTATGTGGCCAGCTCACGCGTCGGAAAACCTGATTTATTCGTGTACGCACCAGACGGAAAAACAAAAAATATTGTGTATCCACAAGCACTCCAATAAATAAATAGAATTGAAACGAAAATGAATAATAATAAGTTTCAATAAAAATGATAAAATGTAAATTGAATTTTATCATAACAAGTTTGCTTGAATTTCCTTTCTTCTGAGATCACAGCAATGCGCGACGGGTAAGCTAGTATTCGAATATACAATAGCAATCTTATCTTTTTTTTCACGTGTAGTATAGAAATTTGTAATAAGATACATAATGCGGTTATAATAAAATATTGTGGGATTATTTTCATATAATTAAAATTAATATGTATTTACTTTTTAGAAAATACAAGGGAAGTGGCACACCACTGTTGTTCGCTATCCGAATTGTTCGTTAACCGATTATCGATTTTCCATAGGTTTTTATGGGAATTTAATTAATTCGTTCTGGAGACCCCCAAAAATAAAAAATATATACTTTCTTACTATGTTTATTTATATGTAATAATAAAAATACATACATAAACAGTCTTGCATTTATATTAGTCATGTTTTTTCTGTTTGAAAGGGTTAAAGAATCTGTCTAATGTCGATTGCTTTTCTCTCTTCTTCAGGATTTTTTGTAAGTAATTAATAGCATTGCAATTGTAGAAATCCCCAAGCCTTAACGTGGTTTGAATGCCATTCTAAGACTGTTGTTCTGACATCCTCCCACTTCTTCAAAAGATCTTTAATAGCAGATATCGGTATTAATCCTCCTTTTCAGAAGAAAACATATCTCACCGGGTTTCTTGGCGTTATTCCGTCATCAGATTTGTTTCAGGTTCCATTATGAACTCTTCAATGGTCTTTATTTCTCAGATGTGATTTTTGTTACTTCTTTAGCTGCTTGAGTCTTCTTGATTATACATCATCTTTCTTAAATAAGATTGAACTGCAGCCTACTGTAGACCTGTTCCCGCCATACTATACGCCCAGCAATATTAGGCATCTTCTGCCCACTCTACTGTTGCTATTATACTCTCACCTTTCAAGAGAAAAACAGATTCAAAACTTAACAAGTGCCTACCTGACAGACTTGCGAAAAATAAATGTTTTTGTCAGAAAAATAAAAGGCTGGAATTTCAATGGAAAGTTTCAAAGTTCAGAGGAATATTATCCTATCGGTATATACCGGGTTGAGCGTCGATGTCGACATTGACTCCCGCACTCTGAAAAGTTTCGAATTGTTGCTCGAAGACACGGGAAGACCAATCGGTATTCATTATTTTACGTTGCTTCTTCTGTGTTTGTTCTGTGGGGTGTTCGTTATCCAATCAAGTGTTTGTTGTCTGAACATAAAAATCTTTCAAATCGTTATCCAATTTGTTCGTTAACTGATCACCCACTGTATTATTCTTGTAAATTTATTGCATTATGTTTTAATTGAAAAATATTTTTTCTATTAAAACATTCTTGTTTTGTATAAATGATTTATTTGGGTTATTATATAAAAAAGCTTGAATACTGCACAAATTTTCTTAATACAAAATAATTTTATTTCATAAGAAAATATTTGTTTTTCTGACATGAAATGAACTGACAGATTTCAGAACAGGTATTATTGGTTTATCTAAATATATAAAATTGCTTGTTCTGACTGACTGAATGAATGATTCACTCACTGATTCATCATTGGCCAGAGCAAACCACTTAACCTAAAGAGGTGAAGTTTGGTAGACAGTTAGGGTATGCCATGGCAATGCACACTTAGAGGGGATTTTTTTGAAATTCCCCAACGGGGGAGAGGGAGAGGATTAAGGCTTAACCGGAAGAATGGCTTCTACTGTACTATTTTAGATGCGATTTTTTGTTTTTATCTGCGTTGTGGTAGGGTATGCCATGGCAATGCACACTAAGAAGGGATTTTTCAAAATTCCCCCGCGGGCGGGAGAGGGAGAGGATTTAGTCTTCATCGAGTACTTAGGTGTATTAAATTAATAACATTTCAGACATTGTTATATTTTTATCTATTTCGATTTTAAAAATGTTCGAACCGTTTTAAATTTGAATTTGTTATTGCATATTGGTTCGATTATAGGACGATTGTAAATGTTCCAGAAAATTGATCAAATTGAAAACAGTTCGTTCGATTCTCTGCAATTCTCATCATTCTCAGTGATAGGTGTTATATAACAATTACTATGGTTTTGATATGAAACCGTGCTTTACAATTTGTTTATGCTTCTAACACAATAGAGTGCTATAATTATAGCACTCTATTGTGTTAGAAGCATAAATTACTATGGTTGTTGAAATACTGAATATAAATGGGGTTTGCTTGCAAAATCTGCACAGGCAAAGCTGCAGGCAACAGCAAGTCAGTCTATATAATTGCAATATATCACTTAGTTTTAGATAAACTATAAACTGTTGTGATATCAGAAAAAATAGAATTAGATGGTAATTTCATTGATCAAAAACATATGTGTATCATCAAAATTCTCCTCTCATGAATGAAAATGCTCTTGAAGTAATTCATATATCTTATCAAATTTATTCTTGCAAAATAATTTTAAAAAATATGCACTCTAAACAGTAATCATAATCATTCTTTGAATAATAAGAAACAACTACAAGATTTACAAAAAATAACAACAAAAGTTCTGTTTTATTGGAGGAGAATATTTATTTAACTTGTGAGGAAAGTTGGAGATAAACTTTCTACAAAAGACTACAGTGTGGTTGTTCATAACGAGTGATTTGTAAGTCCGTGAATAAATATTACAAATAGGAACACAAGAACTAAAATGTGTATGATTGAATATTCCTTTAATTCCTCCAAACACGGTTCTTTTATTTTGTTTTGTTACAAAGATCCCAACTTAACAGGTTACTTTATCCTATTATCCTCACAGGGAAATAGGTCACCTCCTATTATCATACAAGTATATAATATACAAGGTCTGTTCAAAAAGTATCGGACCTTATTTTTTTCCGCGTAAACCAATGATGCGAGAGAGGCCTCCTTCGGTGGAGTTGTGGAGGGGACAGTCATGCACAGCCCTGAATTTTTTCCCGCCTGCAGAAAGCGTCAGTCGTTGGCAATCGGCGTATGAGTGAGGTCATGTAGTGCGCTCTCGTCGGATTTCACTAAGCTGGAAAATGACTGAACAACGTGAGCAGCGATATGACATCAAATTTTGCCAAAAACCTTGGCGATACCCGAGTGTAAACCATTCGCAAGATTCAGCAGGCTTTCGGGGACGATCCTCGAGGCCAAAAAAAGCGCGGCAGGTCGGCAGCAATATCAAAAGTCATGTTGACAGTTTTTTCGACTTTCGTGGGGTGGTGTGTCGTGAGTACGCACCACAAGGCCAAACCATCCCAAAGGAGTACTACCAGGAGGTCCTTTGTCGTCTTTCCGATACAGTGCGATGCAAACGATGGGATCTGTGGTCGATCAAAACTTGGCAGCTCCATTGTGATAACGCATCCGCCCATTCTGCGCATCTGATTCGGGCTTTCGTCGCCAAACACAATACTCCTGTGGTTCATCACGCTCCGTACTCTCTCCACATGGCTCCGTGTGACCTTTGGCTATTTCTCAAGCTGAAAATGCCGCTAAAAGGAACCCAAATTTAGTCGAGAGAAGACATCATGTGAAATGCGACGGACCGGCTGATAACCATTCCAAAAGATGCGTTCCAGCAGTGTTTCCAGCAATGGCAGGAACGCTGGGAGAAGTGTATACATTACCAAGGAGACTACTTTGAAGGGGATTAGGGTTTTGTACCTCAAAGTCAATAA